AATACCGATCCAGGTTCCGCTCATTGGGCTGCCCTCTCATGGGGCCCGGCCACCTGATATGGTACCCTTTCTCCTTGACATGCTGGAGTATGTTCTTCAGCGTGTCTGTATATTCGGCAAAGGGTCACCTGGGTGCCGGACGCCCGGCGTCCATTCTCCTGGGAGGCGGGGGGTTTGCTGGCGCATGCCCCGGACCGCTTGCAAAGTGCGGCCTCCTCGTCGGCTCCACCTCCTCTCCTTTCGCCCTTCGTCGGTCGGCCCTTCTGGCCGCCAACGTTTCTTCGAGCATAATTACCTTTTGCACCCGGTGATCCAGGTCTTCCGTGCACACCACGTCTCTCTTTGCGAGCGATCTGCACAATTCCTCGCTGGTGGTGCATTCGTTCAGGCACACCCCCAACACCGAAGGCTGCACATCCTTCACTGCCAGAGCCACGGATAACCACCTCTCATAAAACTCCCTCAGCGCCTCTCCCTCTCTTTGCTTTATCTTGAACAGGGCGCCTATAGTTAGGGTGCGCCATTTCCTGCTGGCAAACTTTGCAAAAAACATCTCCGCGAATTGCTCGAAGCACTCAATGCGCCCTTCCTCGATTTGATAATACCAATCGAGCACCACGCCCGAGAAAGTCGACAGAAACACTTTGCACAGGGTGGCGTCTGTGCTGTTGTAAAGCTGCATCTTGGTGAAATAACCGTTGAGGTGGTCCTCCGGATCAGTGACCCCATCATAGGTGGGGAGCGGGGGAATGTTGGTCCCTGCAGGCTCCGCTAGTATGTTACGCGCCAACGGCTGTCTCACCGGTCCGTGACGAGACAAGTGCCCCAAAATTCCTCCATTCCATCCTCCCGTCTCTAGCCCCTCGTACTCGCGTGGGCGCCACAAACTGGGGCGCCTCTGATATCTCGATTCACTCTCCGTCTCCGCCACCCTTTCCCTTTTCTTCGTCGGACTAGGCGTCATCCCTCCGCCTCTCTTTAGGGCTTCAACTTCCTTTCGGAGCGCCTCGATTGCTCCATCTTGGTCCTCAATAATTCTGAACAGCTCCCTCCTCGTCATCGAGGCGTCTTCCGACCCTCGAAACATGTCATCACTCTCTTCCCTCTCCTCCATCTCGGGCGCCAGCCCCCTTAATCGTTCCGACTGGTCCTCCGTGACTTCCTCCCCTTCCCTTCCATCACTCACCTCCATTTCCTCACTCATGACTTCAGGTTATATTCCCCTTCCTGGCGCGCCAATTGTTTGAGCCACTATACCCCCCTCGCTATTCGGACGTCTCCCTTCGCCTGGCGTCGACCTACACACACACACACACACACACAGAGGAGGGCGCCTCGGCCCGTTAATCCTCCGACGCCCAAGTTAGTATCCTGGAGAGGGCAGTGTTCTTAAGTAGTATTTTAGTGAGAGAGAGTCCAACCTGCATAAATGCTATCGACTGCCCCTATTTATACTCCCCGAACCCGAGGTTGATCTCCTGCACGTCACCATCCTCATTTAATGCTCTGTGCCCCCTCTGTGAGACAACTAACTGCCTTGTCAGGCTCCTGACACATGACAGGCATCCCTCTGCTCTGCCAGGCTCCTGACACATGATAGGCGCCCGCAGGCAGTGGTCCACCGGACAGCTGGCCACCACTGGGCTTTTGGTGTTTTATTCTTTGGGTCCTTTCTCTTGTCTGGGCCCAAGGGCCTCTAGTGGATTCCTTCTTTTTGGGTCTTGCCCCCCAACTCTTTCTTTGGGAGCCCAAGCTCCTAATTGCTGGGTAATACCCCCAACACTTTCCAACTTGTTTCATATAATACCCTCTAAAATCAAAACTGTACTAATAAAAAACTAATGCAGCAACATATCAACTTGTTTTATGTTTTACCACAAGAAAAATTATTCTTATAGGATAAAACTAGTTCAAATGGCCATCTTTTGATACCATACCGTCTCCAAGTCAGAGTGAACATAAATAACTGTACAACTTGACTCGTTTGTCCAATTCGACGCAATCCATCTCATGCGTATTTGTCACTCAAATTAAGACTTTAAGGTTGGGTGATGACTTTTTTGTTGGACCCGTAACTCTTGGGTTGTGATTGGATTTTGGGTAATGCAACCCATGTTACAATTATTGTCTTATCACTTACGTGTTAATACCCAAAACGTAATTATGCTGCATACAAGCATATTTGTGAGGGCATTAGAATATTTTGTCATAATAGACGTATTTAATATAGATTAGGGTTCACGTTGTTTTCTGTATGTACACTGTATACAAATTTTACAAGAATAACATATGCAATACTTTGTAATGAACAATGTCCTTAACTTATTTCGGTAAATGTTATGAAAAATGTTGAAGCAAATTGCACTTCTTCAACTCTGATGCTTTTTTATGTATTCCGCTTTGGTTTATTTGCTTGAATTTTTAATTAATTATATAAATATTTTAGTGCTGAGTAAGTTTTACTTAAAATAATTAGGCTAAATGCAATATATTAGCCAGAACTATTAAGCAACGGAGAATAATAGCCACAACTATCGAAATACAAAAAAGTAGCCATAACTATTATTGCGGATCAAGAAATGGCTAACAACCCATTATCGTTATTCACTCGGCAACGTCTGGGTGGGGGATTTTTGGCGAAATTAGATGCTCACGTGTCTTGGCACGTTAAAATTATTAATAGCCACGTCAACATCTATTCAATAGAGTTAACAGACATAGGAAGAAAAGTTAAGGAATTGCTAATTTTTTGTATTTCAATAATTGTGACAATTATTCTCCATTGTACAATAATTCTGACTAATATATTATATTTACCTAAATAAATTAAAATAACTAAACTCAAACCAACCAAACCATACTACCGCCGACCTCCTTTGTCTTAAAAGAGGAAAAAAGGGGTTAATTGCATGATTGGTCACTGAGATTACAAAAAAACGTTCAAGTTTGGTCACTCGAAATATTTAAATCCATTGGTGATACTCGAGTTTACTGAAACTGTTTACGTTTGGTCACTCTCCGTCCAACTCCGTTAACTTTGGCTGATGTGGCAGTCAACTCTTAAAGTTGATCGTTAGCTTAGTGACGTGGCAATTAAAAAAACAAAAAAAAATTATTTTATTTTAATATCCAACTCATTTTTATCATAAAAAAATAAAAAATAATTATTATTAATTATTATCAATTAAAAGTGGCACCCGACACCACATCCCTTCCCCGGCCCCGCAATCACTTCTTCTCCGCTCGGGGTTGCCGCCGACCGTCGGAGTTCCCAGTATTCCGAAGATGTCCGTCCATAACTCTTCCGACAGCCGATGCCAGATAACATGCCGCAATCACTTCTTCTCCGTTCGGGGTTGTCGCTCGCGTTCAGCCACGACCTGAAGCCTCGAATAGCCATTCTCGCGGTTTTCAGCATCGCGAACAGCTTCGGCAGAGCGATTCGCGGCGCGTGGAGGCCGATCCTGGACTGCCTGCTGAAGTTGAAGAAGCTCAAGCTTCTCCCCTCGTCGGCGATCAAGCTCGACAGCTCATTTTCCGATTCCGAACAATCCCGAAACGACGGGAGCGGTGGCAGTGGCGGAGTAGGAGGAGTAATTTTTCCTCCTTCCTCTCAAGATCAAAGATCGCGGTCCACCACCATGATCAACAAATTCTCCCGCTTTCTATCTCTACACAGCATGGAGGAATCGTTATCACTCCTACTCCGCCGTAGAAGATGATGCTGGCGGTCGGCATGTAAGGCCGGAGGGGGAATTCGTGGTCGTGCGTTTTCAGGAACGCTCTGGCTGATTCAGGGGATGATACGACGACGTTGGAGGTCTCCCCAAGCTTGAGCTACATGATGGGCCCTTAGTGTTGGGCCAGTTCGGCGAGGCGGCGTTGGACTGGGCCGGAGTTGGAGGAGGAGAAGGCGAGCTGGTGGATGTTGCCGATTATGGGGAGCTTCCATTGGCCTGGAGGCAGGGAAAGCAGGATGCTCTGTTCTTCTTCATCTTGTTGAAGATGTACATGGTTGAGAAAAGGATTATGAGAATGGGGATAAGGAGGAGAAATGGTGGAGGATTATTGTTACTCAGGAGAGTCTCGTCGCCAGAAAAGCCCGAGGATTATTGATTACCTTCAGATCAGAAGGTAATCAAGCAGTGCCAGAAGGTAATCAAGCAATGCCAGATCGGAAGCATTTTCACAAACAGCTAGAACTGGTCTGAGGAGACTCTAAGAAGTAGAAGGAGAAACGAGCTGCTAGGTTAAGCCGAGGAGCTTCAAGTTGGCCGAGGAGCTGGACTTCTCGCCCGCCAACTACATGAACTGCTTCAACCTCGTGGTGTTGGCGATGGTGGACGATCTCCACGAGAAGATGATCGAGTACTCCGACGGTCGGCGGCAACCCCGAGTGGAGAAGAAGTGATTGCGGGGAAGGGATGTGGTGTCGGGTGCCACTTTTAATTTATAATAATTTTTCGTTGAATAATTTATAATAATTTATAATAATTATTTATTATTATAATAATTAATAATTATAATTTTTATTTATTTTATGGTAAAAATGAGTTGGACATTAAAATAAATTAAATTTATTTTATTTATTATTTTTTAATTGCCACGTCACTAAGTTAACAGTCAACTTTAAGAGTTGACTGTCACATCAGTCAAAGTTAACGGTGTTGGACGAAGATTGACCAAACGTGAACAGTTTCACTAAACTGAAGTATCACCAATGGATTTAAATATTTCGAGTGATCAAACTCGAACGTCTTTTTGTAATTTAAGTGACCAACCATAAAATTAACCCTGAAAAAAAGCGGCAAAAAAGAAAGGTAAAACAAACGGACTCGTCGTTAAATTGAGCCACGTATTGGAGAAAAGTCTGTTCTGTTCTGAACACCCGGATATACACCGGGATTAAAGAAAATCCGGGCCGAAGCTAATGGCCCAAGTCTAGGAAGTTCCTAGGCCCACAAACAAATTGGCCCATTAGAAAAGTCGGACACTTGTCAACCCACAAGAACACAGTACTGCTACTGCGGGACCAAGACGGAGTTTTGCCTTCCTAATCCTACGCTCTGCAGGGTTTTAGAAACGAAGTGGAGGCTAGGGTTTTACAGAACACAAGACCAAGAAAGAAGCGGAAGGAAGAGAAGAAGACTGATTTCTTCCCCAGCAAAGAAGCGCTATGGGTTTCTGGGGTAATTGTCGCTCTCCATTCTCGATTTCACTGTTAAGTAATTGAGGCTAAATGTTTTCGGCTGGTTGCCAAGAAAATGTCGAGAGAATGGATTTGATAGCCATTTCCAGAGCTCTTTCTTTCGTTTCCATTTGGATTTTTCTTGAATGCTATTGAACCTCTGACGCCTTGATTCCTTGCTTCTGTTCATCAGGAATTGAAGTGAAGCCAGGAAAACCTCAACCATACCACTCTGATAATGTGGAGGGAACGCTTTTTGTTACCCAGGCGACTCTCGGCCTTGGTAAATCAACCGATAGGAGCATACTCCAGTGTTCAGTTGGCCACAAGAGTCCGATTTTCTTGTGCTCGTTGCTGCCGGAGAAGACCGAGTCTTGCCCCTTGAAACTGGAGTTCAAAGATGAGTTGGTAGCTTTCTCGGTAGTGGGCAAACGGAGCATTCACCTCTCTGGCTACTTTGTGGCCGACGAAGGAGACTATCGTCTTGATGAGTATGAGTCGTATCCTTTTGATCAGATTATCATTAGAGTTTACGTTATGGGTGGACTGTGTGTTAAAAGAAACATTTAATCGTCTGCATGAGAATGTGTGCTAGTGTGTTGTTGTTGTTGTTCTTCCTTAAATTTGATATCAGTGATTCTGGAGAGGACATTGCTGATACAGAGTCGGATGACGAAACCAGTGAATTTGAGTATGATGATGAAGATGGTGATGAATTCATCAATGATGGTGATGATGATTTCAATGTGTTCCGTTCTTCTCCCGTCCCAAATAGCGGTGGTATGGCTACTCTTTTGTCTACAAAGCACTTTGTTTGGCTGTGGTCCATTTCAGAACTGGCAATTTGACTAATCTGTGTGGTGTGATGCTGATTTTCGTTGTAGTTGTTATTGAGGAGATAGAAGATGACGAGCAACCGGCAAATGGAGATGGATTGTCTAAACTGAAAAAGAAGAAGAATGACAGTGGTGGTGTCTCTGTGATGGAAAGTGAAGATGAAGATGGGTTTCCAGTTTCTGCCGCAGGAGAGGGAGGAAAAGCCATTATTCAGTATCCTGAATCTAAGAAAAATAAGAGAAAAGTAAAGGCAACTACTGAACCAGATAGCCAACCTGAGAAGTGAGTTAATTCATCATATGGACTTTGTATTCTCAAAAATTGTAACTGAAGCTAAGAAATTAAATCTCTGGATGATGTGTGTTCAAATCTAATCGGTTATGTTTCTTATTAATGAAGCTACTAAGAATGCATGTTCTTACTTAATTTTGCACCAGGAAAAAGAAGAAGAAACAGAAACAGAAAGGAGTCCAGGAAACTGTGGCTGATATGATTGAAGATGATAAGAAAGAACTGTCTGGCGATGAAGCCCTACCTGCAGATGCAAAAGAAGTATCTCCTGATACACGAGAAGGTGATAAAAGGTATACGAAGCTTACTGTCTTTTTAGTGTACCCTATAATGTTTTCCATTTGCTGTGTAGTAAGAACAAGCAAAATGAATGTTCCCAATCAAGTGCAGTGAAACTGATGTATATGATCCATGTGCAGGGAAACTGAAGTCGATGAAGGAAGTGCAGCCAGCAAAAGTGCCTCCAAGAAGAACAAGGAAAAAAAGAACAAGGAAAAAAAGAAAAATAAGAAAGCAGGTGAGGAGAGCACAGTTGGGAAGCCTGTTGCAGGGGTGACGTCAGATGGAGGTTCTGATGAGAAGCAATCTGCTTCCAAGTCTTCGAGTGTTAGAACCTTCCCAAATGGACTGGTCATTGAGGATTTAGATATAGGAAAGCCAAATGCTAAAAGAGCTTCTCCTGGAAGTCAGGTACGCTTTTCTTAACGAAGTCAACCTTTCTTGAAAAGCCAAAGACCAAGTTGATGATGTTTGGTAGTATTACTGTATTAGGAGGAATGTGGAATGAATCATGGGGTGAAATTTACTTTATTTGGAATCAGGATTTGTGGTCAAAAGGAGATTCTGATTATGTCTAATTTGTATGGGTGCTTCATCACTTATTAAATGTTTAAGACAGGAGAATTGGACTAGGATTCTTTGAGTAAGCCATTGATGAAATGCACAAAGCTTTATATGACTGGAATGGCTATGTCTTGGTCAACAGGTCAGTGTGTGCTATACTGGCAAGCTTCAGAAGAATGGCAAGATTTTTGACTCTAACGTGGGGCGGGCGCCATTTAAGTTCCGGCTAGGTACCTCGAAATCTGATTTATGGGCACAACATGAACTGTTTTCGTGAACTTGGGTTTTAACTTGATTTTCTTTCCACTTGGTGCAGGCGTGGGTCAAGTCATAAAAGGATGGGATGTTGGTGTTAATGGTAAATCACTTCAAAGTTATTGCTTCTTCTCTAATTCCTAGCTGGACGTAGTTTAAGTTTTTATGCTCATTATTATTATTATTATTATTTTGAATTTCTCAGGCATGAGAGTTGGGGACAAAAGAAGGCTCACGATTCCTCCGGCAATGGGGTAAATCCTAAATCCATGTTTCTTCCTCCTTTTATTGAAGAATGTGAGGACTTATTAAATGCCGCAGCACTGCTGCTGCTCTTGATGCTGAGAGATGTCTAACTTTGTTCTGTATGTGGGCTTTGTGCAGCTATGGGCATCAAGGTGCTGGCAACAAGATACCGCCAAATTCGTGGCTGGTTTTTGATGTAGAGTTGAAGGATGTCCGTTGATCGAACACCGACATGGGTTTTGTTTGTTCTCTTGGGAGGTTTCGAAAGACATCAATTGGTTTGTGGCGAGGATTCATGATGGCGATCGATGAGAGTTTCGTCAAAGCTTCAGGGTTAGCAACAATGGCTTCTGAAGAGTGAAGACCTCTATAACTTGTAGCATAGATCTTGAGAACATGGTTTTGGATATGGAGACTGTCCCAAAGATTTTGTAGTATTGAGTTCCACCCCATCGTATCTCTCAACTGATATGGAGTGGGCGAAAATTTTGGAATGGAAAACTTGCTTGAATCTCTCTCTTGGTTTGGTTGTTTTGGATATTCAACTTCACTGGTTCATGGTACAAGTTCTTGTCGCACCTCGTACTGTTGGTTTAGAATTGAATCCATCTTTTTGTTAGTGGCACTTCAATGTAGTGCGATATAGTTACAGTGTGGCAGCTATCCAGCTTAACTTGCCGCATATTATACTGTCCGAAGGAGTAATTGGAGGGCAATTTCTAGGGATTTTTTTAAGCGCTGCATTGCTGCACTTTTTGCTGAGACAAGCGACATTGTCTGGTATGTAGACTCTGTGCAGCTATGGATATAAAGGTGCTGGGCTATTGTGGTGAAGCGACTGTTCTTTTAGTCCAGGGTCCAACGGCCCAGTTGAGATCGAACGCCGGCGTTTGAAGAAGGGAGTGAGAGTTCGATAGGTCAAAACGCCAAAACCCTTCTACTCTCGTCGATAAAGATCGACCGTCTGTCACCTTTCTCCCTCGCTCGTGCCTCGTCCCTCCCAAAAACTCCTCTCCTCGCGCGTTCCATTTTTGTCCGCTGCTTGCTTGTCGCACGAAGCGCCGCCGCTAGCCTTCCGGCTGCATCTGCTTCGATTCCCGACGTCCATCCTTTCTTCTTGAAGTGATATCGAAAACGCTGGCTTAAACGCCGTCAAAGGTACCTCAAATTCTCGAGTTTTTTTTAGTCAAGGGATGATTTAGTTTTCAATTCACGTACAGTTCCTACCAGTTTATCGTCTTAATCGATTGTAACTCTCGGTTTGTTAGCTTCTCCCGAAAGAACAAAATTGCGGTGTCTAGGGTTTAGTTTCACATTGTGCAAAAACCTGCGGCTTTAAGTTGGTGATGGGATTATTCGATGTTATTTTCTGGGGGGTTTATGCAAAGGACAACGCGTACTATTGAATTTAACTTATGCTTCGCTAGCTTGTATCAGTTGTGAAGTATTTGCATCCTTAAAAGGTAAACGGATAGTTTGCAGAATCACAGTGTTTATTTCAACTGCTTATTTAGTGAAAAGATAGTTATCTTGTCTTGAATTGAAGTTTTCATGTTCATTGTATGATAGCTTCACATGGGGACTCCTAAACTAGATTCAGATATGGAGGATTTGGAGCCAATGGAAGGTGAAGTTAACGGGGAATTTACTGATTCCAATTCCGACTCAGGGGAGGGAGATGTACGAAAATCGGCTATTCCCTCTAAGGATGCGGTCTACGATCGAGATGCTATCAACGATAAGCTTCGAGAAATCAGCTGGCCAGAGAACTTAGGTTGGACACACAAACTCTCCCTTGACATCAAAATGGGTTTCCTGCTGCTGGTGGGAAGAAGAATGGTGATGTGATTGGTTTGGATTTTGGAGATGGTGGGAAGCCTTTTGCCAAGTCCAACAAGCAGAGACCAGGGGTATCCCCAGGAGACAGGTCCGGGGGAAAGGGTAGAATGGAATCATGGAAGGGCGCTGGTAAACCAGTGAAGAAAATAGTGGAGAGGGTCCGAAAGGACTCGAAGTTTGGGTATGGTGGAAGGAAAGGCTTGAAGAAGCAGAACACTGCTGATACCACTGATGATTTCTAGGGGTTTCAGGAAAGCAGGTGGTGATGCCGGGTCTAAGAGGAGAAGGAAGCAGTGATATTGGGGAAACTAAGTTATAACGAAGGCTGGAAAATTGCAGGAAGTCAACAAGAATAATGGACCAGCAAATTCTTTCCTAAGTAAAGTTACATCAAATAATTAATATGCAGCGGCTTGACGGACATGGGTTTAATCCTTGTTATAAGAACCGAACCGAATCAACGGCCGAGCCAGTAGAACCGTCAAACCAGTTACGATAGCGGTCCGGTTCATTGTTTGAACGGTTATTGATAGACCAAACGGTTTTTCACGGTTCAACATAAAATCAGATGAACAGGCACAGTTTCACTGGTCCACTGGTTCACTATTTTAACATAAACTAAGACCGTCAAATCATAATTATTAATTTTATATATGCTTCCTCAACCTTATTGTTGATTTTACATTGTCTACTACCAACTAGAACCGTAATTTTTAATTTGAATTAAAAAAGGTGGTTTCTTTTGTGAGATGGTTGGAATGATTTATTAGATATTTTCGTGATGATATGAATTTGAACTTGTTTATGGTCAATGATAATTTCATTCTTAAATTAGTGTAATATACAAGTCTAATCTGTTATATATCATTAACGGTTCTATCAATGGTTCACCAACGGGTTTGTAACAGTTAACCGGTGAACTCTAAACCACTAACTTTTCCGGTTCAACCTCCGGTCCAGTTCTGAAAACAGAGGGTTTAATACAGCTGGCCAGCGAAAGTAGCAATTGACTTTTTTTTTATAAAATTTTTAGTTATTTACCATGGCCCAATTTCTTGTTGAATAGATCTCTAGTATTGTCTTGTCTCATGGATTGTTTCTGTGACCCTTGAACGGGCTAATAAGAAGATCAAACCTTTTTCACACTCTGTTTGTTTCTCTCAATTCAAATGCACCCCAAAAAAAAACAAAAAAAACAGGAATTTGGCAAAAGAATTTCGTTCGCTGGCCTTCCACTCTAAGCCAAAACGCGCCAATTACTTCACTGAACAAAGTGAAAAAGATATTTAAATATCAAAATAAAGTCGGGGTGTTTTTATTAGAAAACCTCGTAATGTTAATTTATATAGAATCTATAATGTTTTAACAGAACTGCACCATACACATTCGTTCCACTACATAGGACTGAGAAGAGAAACTGTATAGTTGCGGTTAACAAAACCCAAATTTGCTATTAATCGCAATCGAGACTAAGCCATATCAGCCAACCGCAAACGCACAAAGAACAGTTAGCAGTTAACCGCTAATCACTAAAATGGTTAACGGCTAACAACATTACGAAAAGGAAGGTAAGTTGATGATGCGAATTGTGAATGAAGAACAAGAGAAGTTATGGTAGAAAATGGTGCGGTATGGATCAGACCGGACCATATATACGATCTGAGATCCAGACCAAGAGACTAAAATACAGACCATGGAACATACTATATGCTATACGCGGTGCGGTACAATCTGGACTAGACAAACCACACATACGCGGTGCGGTACAATCTGGACTAGACAAACCATGTTTAACAAAACTTCATTCCCCCCTCCCTTTGACCCTCCTTGGTATCCATAGAAACAAAGGTTTTGTGACTAATATGCTAGTAACAAAAATTTAGCGACCGTGATTAACTTGCGAAGAAATATGAGGGGAGAAATGGAGTGTTTCAATTTTTCTACCTCCTCACCACTCTCCACCGCTCTATCTAGCATCACTCAAAATAAAATAAAGGGTTAATACCTTGTAATGGCCTGAACTATGACCATGTAATCAACTTTGGCCAGTGGTTTGAGAAATTAACATCCTGGCCCGAACTATGTAGCATATAGACAAAATTGGCCTGGAGCGTGGTTTGACCGTCTATTTGGACGGTCAACACCGTTGACCGTTAGTCAATTGTCCATATCATTGCCATGTCACGCCTTGTCAGCCTATTAATCATTAAGAAATCAGAATTCAAACTTTTGACCTAAACTTATTATTTACAATTTAAACAAAAAATAATAATAAATAATATTTGAAATTTTCCCTTATCCTCTCTCTCTCCTCACTCGGACCACACAACCCTCATCCCTTTCCCAATCGTTCTTCCCCCGACGGTCACCGAACCGGAGATCGAGAGTCTGGGGAGATTGCGGCACAAGAACTTGGTGAACCTTCAAGGTTGGTGTAAGCAGAGGAGCGATCTCCTTCTCGTCTACGATTACATTCCGAACGGGAGCCTGGATTTCTTCCTCTACGGCGGCGGCGGGCAGCGATGTTTGAGCTGGGAGCAGAGGTTTAGGGTTTTGAAAGGGATTGCCGCGGGGTTGCTTTACCTGCACGAGGAATGGGAGCAGGTTGTGATCCACAGGGACGTCAAGTCCAGCAATGTGTTGATCGACGGCGAGATGAACGGCCGCCTCGGGGACTTCGGGCTAGCCAGGCTGTACAACCACAGAACGGCGGCGTCGCACACGACCAATGTCGTCGGGACGGTCGGGTACATCGCACCCGAATCGGCCCGAACAGGGAAGGCGTCGACCCGGTCCGACGTGTTCGCGTTTGGGGTTCTACTGCTGGAAACGGCGAGTGGGCGAGGCCGATTGGCAACTGCGACGGCGACTTTATACTGGTGGACTGGGTGACTGAGTGCCTGCAAATGGGGAGTGTTCTGGACGCGGCTGATGCACGGCTGGAGCGGCGGTATGTGGCAGAGGAAATGGAGATGGTTCTAGGGTTGGGGCTCATTTGCTCGCACCAAAGGCAGGAGTCGAGACCCACGATGAGACAAGTGGTGAGATATCTGAATTGCGAGGACCAGCTCCCAACTGTCGACCGGCGTGGGTACACCGATGACGACGCTCTTGGAAGTGCTCGCCGGGCGAACTCAAGATTGCAAACCGGATCCGGTGACTGTCGGGGGAAGAACGATTGGGAAAGGGATGAGGGTTGTGTGGTCCGAGTGAGGAGAGAGAGAGGATAAGGGAAAATTTCAAATATTATTTTTTATTATTTTTTGTTTAAATTGTAAATAATAAGTTTAGGTCAAAAGTTTGAATTCTGATTTCTTAATGATTAATAGGCTGACAAGGCGTGACATGGCAATGATATGGACAATTGACTAACGGTCAATGGTGTTGACCGTCCAAATAGACGGTCAAACCACGCTCCAGGCCAATTTTGTCTATATGCTGCATAGTTCGGGCCAGGATGTTAATTTCTCAAACCACTGGCCAAAGTTGATTACATGGTCATAGTTCAGGCCATAACAAGGTATTAACCCTAAAATAAAAACAAGGAGGTTTGCCTCATTTTTTATTGTGCTATCGCTTTTATCGCTTTCCCAGGTGGTTTGAAAGATTCCCACTCTTCAATCTTGATTCCCCACCAACGATGTGTAGGCCATTTTGAGCCACTAGGTTGGCCGCTTCACTCACAATAATTTCCATGATCTTGTCAATGTAAGTAAATTTTGTCATGCGTTCTTATATTATCGACTCCATAGTCGAGACGTGTTGGTGGATATATTTTTCCTATATTTTCCTGTTTTGTTTTCATTAGGAGTTAATGTATAAGGGAGCAGCTTGAGCAGTATGTAGGTTTTCAATTGGATGGAGTATCAATACATTTACTATACTTGTACTAAAATCCATAATAGGATGATTAGGTTGCTTGCTCGTTGTAGTTGGATTGATCTGACATGCGATTTGTCCAACGAAATTCGTATGTGGAAATTTGGTATTATTTTGGTATGTATTGATGGGTAGTGGGGGTCACAGTCTACCACGATTTACTACGGTTCACCGTGGTCCAAGACACTTCAGACCACATAGTAAAGGAAGAGATTGCCAACTAGATCAGACCATGATCATGGTCTCAAAGTCTAGACCAAATTAGTAGTCTGGTCTAAACCATAGTTTCCCATACGATTTGGTATGAATTCCTAGCCCTAAGGGGAAGGAAGGAGGGTTTCATCTTGCGTTGTTCGGGCTTCAAAAACTAGGGGTGGCCAGGTGGAAATATAGGATTGAACTTCTATTCTTTGGTAGGTTGGGGGCCTGGGGTTATGGAAAGTGGTCTATTATTCGATTAGCTAAACGAGCACTTCTACTATGCTATATAGTATTGGTGCTTTAATGTACAACTTAAAGTTGTACCATAACATTAAATGTATAAGTTTAGGTTGTACCATAAAGCAATTTGTACCATTATGTTATGGTACAACTTTACAACTTGAAGTTGTACCATCACATAAATGTACAAGTTCAAGTTGTACCATAAAAGAATTTGTACAAAAAGTATAGGTACAATCTAAAATTGTACCATAACGTAAATGTACAATTTTAAGTTGTACCATAAAAGCAAAACCCTATAGCACCAATACTATATAGCATTGTAAAATTTCTCTTAGCTAAACAATTCTGAATGTGAAAATATACCAAGTTCGTTCTATCAAAAAAAAAAAAAAAATAATACCAAGTTCGTCTCTGAAAAAATCCACGGTTATCCAATTGATCCAATTGAGTCGAACGCGGTCGTTTGAAAGGACGGAGAGAGTTTACAGGGTAATATGCCAAAACCCTGAACCCTACTACTCTCGTCGACAAAGATCGACCAACCATCTGTGAAGGACCTTTCTCCCTCGTCCGCCCCCTACCAAAACTCCTCCTCGCGCGTTCCAGTTTCGGCCGACGGCCGTATCTTCTTCAGTTCCGCCGTCCGGCCTTCTCTTCTTGAAAGGATATCGTAGACGCTGGCTTAAACCACTTTTATAATCCATAGGACGCGGCATCAGCACGTCGTTAAAGGTACCTCAAATTCTTGAGTTTCCGAGTCAAGGGATGATGTAGTTTTCAATTCACGTCCTATTCCTGTCAGTTCATCGTCTTAATTGATTGTATAACTCTCGGTTTGTTAATTTCCTCGTGTTCGAAAGAACAAATTGCGGTCAGGTTTTTAGAGTCTAGGGTTTAGTTTCCCATTGTGCAAAACCTGCTGCTTTAGGTTGGTGAAGGGCTTATTCAATGGGGGTTATTATGCAAAGGACTGCGGGTACTTTTGAATGACTTATGGGTTCGCTAGCTTGTATCAGTTGTGCAGTATTTACATTCTTATAAAGCAAATGGATAGTTGAGGAATCAGTGTGTTTAGTTGAAGTGCTTATTTAGTGAAAAGATAGTATCTTCTCTTAAATATGAAGTTTAGCTCAGAGTCAGAGAGGCAGTGCTTTTCATTATTTGGGAGAAGCTAGTCTATGCATTGGGTTAGAGTGAATTGGAATTCCCTCAATGGTTTGGTGTCATGACTCATGAATGGTTCTTATTGCGTGGAACCTTCAACTCCTCGCTGTCCTCTTTGCTCTATGTTGTGTTTACGTTCTAATTTGTAAAGTCCCTTTCTTTAAGAACATATACCTCTCCGTCGTATACTACGTGAAGAGTTGTAAGAAGAAGTATTATCCTTTTTAGGACCATCATTGGTGCTTTGGATAATGAACTAATCAAATATGGGTTTGCATTTTGTGTATAAACCATGCTAGTTCAGTTCTGATTTCATGCGTTCGTTGCATAAGGACTCTCTTTGTTTGTAACTAGTTCCGAAGAAATGATGCTAATAGATTCAGATATGGAGGATGCGGAGCCAATGGAAGGTGAAGTTAGTAGGGAATTTACTGATTCCGATTCCGACTCCGACTCAGGGGAGGAAGATGTACGAAAATCGGCTATTCCCTCTAAGGATGCAGTCTACGATCGAGATGCTATCAACGATAAGCTTCGAGAAATCAGCTGGCCAGAGAACTTAGGTTGGATACACAAACTCTCCCTTGACATCAACCAGGAGCAATACGTAGATGTAAACGATGACCTGGCACGTGAGATGGCATTCTTCACACAGGCATCAGAAGGGTCAAGGAGGGGGTTTGAGAAGAATGAAACAATGGGCCTTCCCTTTCTGAGGCCTCTGGACTATTATGGCGAGATGGTGAAGTCAGATACCCACATGCTGAAAGTGAAGAGCCGACTCTTGGCTGAGAAGAGAAACATGGAGGAAGCAGAGGAGAGAAGGAAAGCTAGGGATTCGAAGAGGCTAGCTAAAGAGGTTCAAGCCCAGAAGCAGAAGGAGAGAGCAACGCAGAAGAAGTCGGAGATTGAGGCTGTTAAGAAGTGGAGGAAGCAGAGGCAGCAAAATGGGTTTCCTGCTCCTGGTGGGAAGAAGAATGGTGATGAGATTGATTTGGACTTTGGAGATGGTTTGAAGCCGTTTGCTAAGTCCAACAAGCAAAGACCAGGGGTATCTCCAGGAGACAGGTCCGGGGGAAAGGGTAGAATGAAAGCATGGAAGGGCGCTGGTAAACCGGATAAGAAAATAGTGAAGAGGGACCGAAAGGACTCAAAGTTTGGGTATGGTGGAAGGAAAGGCATGAAGAAGCAGAACACTGCTGATACCACTGATGATTTCAGGGGGTTCAAGAAAGCAGGTGGCGACGCCGGGACCAAGAGGAGAAGGACGCAGTGAGATTGGAGAAACTAAGCTATGACAAAAACTGTCTGTTATTGCTATGATCAATAGGCTTGTCTGTCCTAGAATTGTACTGAAATTTTGGGGGGGTTATCTTTATGGTTCAGTTTCTTCTTTTGCTTAATGAATGATGTTGATGTTATTGCCTTTCTGGTTCTATTATTTTGTCTCCCGGGTGCTCATTTTTGGCGTTGTTGGTGGCCAGATCTCTTCTGTTCTGAACTGTAGACAGCACAAAGCCTGGAGTTTTGCAGCTGCAATGTGTTGTTCTATCAACTATTTCTCTTATCCTGGGATCATTTCCCCTGCTATGAAGAGGAATAAAACAAAGGGTGGGAAATTGCAGGAAGTCAACCAGAATAATGGATCAGGAAGTTCTTTCCTCAGCACTAATGATTGCCACAAAGCACATCAAATGATTAATGTGCTGCGGCCTGACGGACGTGGGCAGATTACATTATTATGCTATTACTCTCTCAATACAGCTTGCCAGGGACGTAGCAACTGACTCCTTTTTTCACTTTTAGTTCTCTACCATGACCTAATTTCTTGTTGAATTGATCTCTACTATTGTCTTGGATTGTTCTCTATGACCCTTGAACGGACTAAGAAGATTGAACCTTTTTCACACTCTGTTTGAGTTTTTGTTGCAGTAATCTCTAAGGGGTCATCAGCAAAGAGTCGTCAGAAATCGACCATTTAATCACTAAATTACACTACGGTCATATCATATCATATCATTGAACTACAAGTTCGTCGGTTTAATCTACCACAAATTATACTGTCCTAAAGCTTAATCAGAATGGAATGTCGGGGGTGAAACTGTATCAACATTTTTACGACATCGATCATGAACGATAATAATAATGGCTGGTTAGAAGAATCTATGACAGTTCTTGTTGTTTGGTACAATGAATCATCCTCTACACATTTGTTTTAATAATTGCTGACTCATTTGTGTTTGATAATTAGAAAATTATCAAAACAGAGACCCCCCAAGCCCACAGTTGTCAAGAGACACATCATCAGTTTGATCATAAACTAAGCCTTGAGTAAAGATCCAATTTTTCTTATAAAAAAGTCTGTTTATTAAAAAATTTCTTAATCCACTTTCAAGCTTTCAGACCACACCTCCTTCTACTAACTTCCGCAGCAAAAAGCTTCAGTCTTTCCTTTCCATTTATATACCTCAGCCTTTCAATTTCTAAAGCCCACCCATCCAATCTTCATTTTCCTTCTCCCATCTCCAACTGGGTTTAAGGAAAGATGGTGGCTTTGACATTCACATTCTTCTCATTGGAGCTGATAACTCAGGCAGCTTCGAGCTCAGTGGTGGTCTTCTTCTTCTGCAATGTGATCATTGTCACCATCCTCGTCGCCTCGAGGCCGCCTCCTCCCGCGGCGGCGAGCGGAATTTGCCACGTTTCGGTTGCAGGGAGCCCTTACGCGACCATTTATCAGCACGAGGAGACTGTTATTGATGGACATAGACATACTCTGCATTCCAACGACGAAAACAGAGCATCGGAATCTAATTTGAAATTCGTAATTACTACCCATCAAGAAGAAGTAGAAGAGGAGAAGGAAAAAGAAGAAGAAGAAGAAGTAGGGGAATACAATGGCGATGATCATGATGAATATGTGGAGGAAGAAGATGATGAACTGAGGAGGAGAGTTGAAGAGTTCATAGAGAAGACTAACAAGGCGTGGAGGGCCGAAATGCTTCGAACATCACAATCGCGGCTGATTGCAACTCGTTGATTGATTGTGTCGCAACGCAAAATGGGTGATGGGTGTGGAAAAGTCGGAAGGAACAGAGTTTTTGGTTGTTCCTCAAGGAAATTCAGGAGCCATGTCCAGAAATATTATGGTTGGCTTCTTTATCTTTCTCTTTTTTTTTTCTCCCCCTAGCTTTTCAGTTTTGAATATATGGTTACCAGCTGTAACTATTTTCCTTCTTTAGTAATTTTTTACCTCAGACCATGGTCCATGAAACCGTACCGGATATCGTACCGGAAAGGTTAGTGGTATTATATTTTATGGTAAAACCATGGTTTAACCGTAGTTCAACCGTTAGACCGTTAAATACCGCCTACCATTTTAGCCTCCGATACTGGTATTTCGTGGTTGAACCATCGGTACGGTACGGTTTCATGGACCATGCCTCAGACATAGTATTAGACCCTTCCGAGTGCAAGAAAGTGACTTTGTGGAGCTACAAATTTATCTAATTAACTTCACGTGTAAGCGCTTCTATGGTGAATAGTGAAACGTTTCTCTTGTACTTTGTTGTGTCTACCAAAGTTGTCAATGCCTGTAATTCCAGAGTTACAGAAAAATGGTGGCCTTCCTACACTAGTACAATTCACAGATACTGCACTCTATGGATGATAGACGAAGACGAAGTCATGCATTATGCCTACCCAGATTACTAGCTTAGCTCTTTCACTTGCTAACATTTTGTGGCCTCAAATGATAACACAACCAATAGCCTGTTGGAATAATCTCTTACGTCGAAACTTCGGCCGTAATTTTGTGCTCTGTTGTCTTAACAAACGAAGTCACTTTGGTCCACCTTCGTCGCACAAAATGTTATTTGCTGTTCCAAACGGGTCATTTTGTGATTTTGCAAAATTTCGGACATTCATTAACTTTGCGTTTGGATGAGAAAACCGAGCATCAGAATCGAAGTTATTGATGGATATGTTATGCAGAATATTGCAAAAAAAAAAAAATTGCATAACTTTTCAAAACTACCATCCCAAAAAATTGAAATGTTATGCAGAATAAAAAAAAATTACTATGATCGGATAATCGCATATAAAGTTACAAACGTTTGAATTTCTTATGTACGTTAGGTGTAGATCGCTGGATTGTCCAACGAGTTTTGTGTTAGATCGCTGGAATATGTCATGATCTAGCCGGTTTGCTCCTGTCTCCAACGATCTTGTATGATTCGCTCCGGTCTCTAGGAAACTGGTATCTCGATCAATGTACACCACAACAAACTGCTCCAAATTTTGTGCATTTTGAATAATTTTGGTATAACTATTTTTTGCCGACTATTATTTTAGTAACTTTGGTGTTTCGGGGAAAAACTTAAAAAAAGTCAGCTTTTCGTCCAATGAACCATGTATATTCCTTTGGTTATGCACTCTGCATAACTAGATTTCGGCCCTTAGTTCTGAGTGGGATCTGAAAATTCATATCTAAGGATGACAATTAATAATTTTTTAATTTCTCTAATTTTATGAATTTGCTCTTATCTTTTATCGTTCTACCTGGTAGAGGGGTTGTAACTGGTGGTAAACAATGATGAACGTGTTAAACGACAGTTCGTATATTCCTATTGTCATGTATTCAACCATTCTACATTATGATATGTTCACATTACCATGATACACTTCCATACCACATTCATTATCACCATAGTATAGATCAATAATAAATTTCTCAATTTTTTTTTCAAATTACATCAAATTAAATATTATTTTGAAGAGCATAACTAAACTCATTTATCCGTACACTACCATAAACCACTATACACATTTGTTTCAATAATAGCAGGGGCCACGCCACAATCTCTAGTTGTCAAAGATAGATGACACATCATCCATTTGATTGCAAAATCAGATTTCAAGAAGAACACCCCAATAAACAAAGATGGAGGGAACCAAAAAAAAAAAAAAGTCTTTAATAGAAATCATTTAGTTCGTCATCCACATTCAAACTTTCACACCACACTTCGTTTAACTAACTTCTCCCGCAAAAAGGGGGGGAAAAAAAAGCTTCCCTCCCACTCTTCTCATTCCATTTAAATACTGAATCGCTATTCGTCGCCCTAAAATTTAAATTTTATCGCCCTAAATGGTACCAAATGTACGCATTTACCCCTGATTTGTAAACAAATCTCCACACCACAACAGACCTCCGCCGCCGGCCACTTACCTCCCAGTAAATTTTCAAGTTCATTTATTTTCTCTCGAATCCCCAATCCAAAGCAAACCTCCGCTGCCGGCCGCTTAATTTCCTGTCAATTTCCAAGTCCATTTATTCTTCTCCCAGATCCATTCCCCTTTTCCCGTCTCCGATAAATCACTTTCAACAAATATAATAAAATTAGAAAGAAAAAGAAAGGGAAAGAACGAAGTAGAAGGCGAAGAAGACCCATATCCCGATCCCGCCGACCGTCACTGCCGCGAAAAGAATCTTCCCAATCCTCTTTTTCTGGGCTAAGGATACGGACGAATTGTATTCCCGTCGAATCATCCTAGAGGCGGGTTGAGTTCCTGTGCGACATATGGAAGGAACAGGTATTCTACCCATCTGGACTGCTCGCCTAACGGGTTGGAAACCTGTCGCCGACGATGGCGAGACCGGTCGTTGACCCATTCCCAGCTTGTCGGAGACGGGTTTTCAACCCGTCAAAGTGAACCCAGAACCCGACGCAGCAGCTCTCTTCTTCCTCTTCCGACAGCTGGATGATGGTGATTCTTTCTTCTTCTACAAGATCAACAGAAGCCGACAAAAGTAGAGCAGCAAAGGTAGGAGGTGGAAGCCAGATTGAGGTGGGCTGCCGGCCGGGCCTCTCTTCCCATTGTAGGGATTCATTGATGGTGGTCGGCGGTTGGAATGGAGAGGGGGGAGGGGAATGGATCAAAATTTAATGAAGGGTAAGCGTGTAATTTTAATATGATTTAGGGTGACAAATTCAATATCTAGGGCGACGAATAGCAACTCCCTTTAAATACCCCAAGCTTTCGATTTCGCTCCTCACCATCCCAACAGTCTCTATCACAATTGGGTTTCCTTTATTCCACTGCAGAAAGAAAGAGGAAGAAGAAGAAGAAAAAATGGCGGCGTTGACTTTCTTATCAATGGAGCTGATAACCGAGGCAGCTTCGAATTCAACGCTGGCTTTCTTCTTCTGCAATCTGATCATCGTCACCATTCTCGTCACATCGAAGCCTCCTCCAGCCGCCGGTGGAGGAATTTGCTACGTGTCGTCGGTGGTGGGAGCTCCCTGCGTCGCCATTTATCACCAGGAGGAGGAGAAGGTTACTGCTGGCCATGCTCTGCCGCCGAACGATGAAAACAGAGCATCCCCGTCCTCCGAAACTAAGGTCGAAATGGAAATCAGTACCCACCAACAAGAAGAAGAAGAAGATGACCATTGCGGTGGAAATGGGGAATGTAATGGTGATTATGATGAATTTGACGAGGAGGAAGACGATGATGAATTGAGAAGGAGAGTTGAAGAGTTCATTGAGAAGACTAACAATGAATGGAGGGCCGAATTGCTCAGAACATCGCGGCGGCCGTGAAAAAAGATATACTTTGGGTCTTCGGACTCGTTGATTGCGTCGTCAAATTCAGCCGATTGGAGTCAAAAACAGAATCTTTTATGGTTGTTAAGAGGGGACTCAGAAGGCATTGTTCATTTGGGTGACTAATCCTCCGTTTTTCTCTCCCCCAACCTTGTGAAATGTCAATTTTGAATGATTACTGGCTATAGATCTTCAATAATTATGTGATAACCAACTCTCTTAGTCTTAGTGTAACTTAATTACTTACCCTAATGAAAAGTATACATCTTTACGATATAACGACGATCTATGTATTTCTCGTCACGTTAATAATACGGATTGATGGTCACATGTTGTGGGGATTTACAAACTGAATCGCTAAATGTCGCCCTAAGAATTGCTAAACATCGCCCTAACTAAAATATAAAATTACCTACATGCCCTTAAGCAAAAACTCAAAACAAACAAGCCCTTAAGGCAAATTCAAATTCATTCTCCCTCCCCCTCCCCCCAACTCTCACCTCTGCACTCACTCCCTCCCCCTCAACCGCCGGCCCCCTCAACCGCCGGCGACGCCAGCCCGCCGCCCCCTGCCGCCGCCGGCCCGCCGCCCCCGTCGCCTCCCGCCGCCAGCCCGCCGCCCCCGTCGCCTCCAGCCGCCAGCCCCCGTCGCCTCCCGTCGCCGCCCGTCGCCGCCTTCCTCCCGTCGCCGCCTCTATCAAGAACCTCCTGTACTAGACCTTGGAACACACCACGGTGGTAATCACTATGGTCATCCCACTCCGGCCGAGTAGGAGGTTCACGATAGTTGATAACGGTCCAGAATGGCAACACATCATACAAGGCGAAATCCCGATTTTCACGTCGTGCTAACTGAATGGAACATCTACATGGGAGACCATAGGTAGGAAGAAACGTACATGTACAAGGTTCCCCTTCCACTGCTACCTCGAACAACATCAACCTCAGAGCTTCTAGAGTGACTTTCGTATTCAACTCTCGAAATGGTTTTCCATCCGCTCGGAGCAGCTTCTTTTGTCGGGAATCCTCCAGCAGCTTCCTGATTTGAAGGTGTTGAGCCTCAATGTAATCATCGTTCTTCTTGTATACCTACAAACAATGAAGAACAATTAGGAAACTACTAAAACTTATGTGTGTATCAATAAAGATTTATTAGATTACTAACCGTGTCGACTGCGCCAGTAGATGATTGAAGCCACTTCTTGAAGGAGGAATGGGCAGCTTCAACCCTATTAGAGCTTGTGTTACCCAAATGCCGCAGTTGATTGGTATAACATTTAGCCCACATGTGTCTAACTGGTAACCACTCAGCTGTCATATACCCCCAAAGACGTCGGTACTGTACTCCCCAACCACGTCTGAAATTCTCTAAGGCAGTATCCATGTCTTCCACTGTCAATGCATATACAGCACGTTGCCAAGACGCCATGATCTGATCCACTGTCGGTTTGGCTGCATCTATACCACAATGAGTCGTCCTTCGCACCTCCGTTAGACACTTTGCTCTCACATTCCTATCCATATGCCAAAGACATAAAATATGAGTCGATGATGGAAACATTACCCCCACGGTCTCAACCAATCCTCCTGCCTTGTCACTGACAAACACATCTGGAACAATGGGGCCAAGAAGATGTTGCAAATGCGTCAGAAGCCACTGGTACGACTCCTTCGTCTCGTCGTACACTATTGCAGATGCAATGACAAAGTTCAATCCCACTGGTGTCATGCCGACAATCTCAACCCAAGGCATATCATACTTGTTGGTCTTGTATGTTGCATCTATCACGATCACATGGTGCCAAGCTCGCAACATCAATATTGACTCGGGGTGGGCTAGGAACAAGTGTGTAAGCACGTTACGATCGTCCATATACTGCACATAGTAACCCTTCTCCTGCGCCATGCGGAAAGTATACTGTAAGGCTGTCATCTGACCAAGCTCTTCTTTCCTTATCTTGTGACACTCGTTATAAATCTGCTTTCTGTTGTGTGTTCCATTTGCACCTTTTCTGTCATTCACTGCCTTGTGGATATTCCTTGGTGGGACACCGGCTGATCTCAGCTCTCTGATGTATTGCTTGTCCTCTGTAGTCAAAACATTCCTTCCCTTTGATCCCTCCGGAAATAGCTCCAACTGATGATTGTGGAAACCCAAATTAGCACCAGGATTCTTTGTATTTGCCACCCCTAGGATCAACCAATATCCATCACCTGACCGCTCAAGCTTGATCTTAAACTCGCACCCCAACTTTTCAGTAGATGTAAGAGGCCTCGTTTCCTTACTCGGATCAGGTTCCTTCGACTTCTTCTTCCTACCATGAGTGCAATGTAAGTAATGTCGCCAAGTACCTTCATTCGTATTTTTTTTGTTCGATGCCCTCACCAAATAAAACCCAAAACCCTTTGCAATCTCAATGGCTGCTTCATATGCTTGCAACTCCGTAGTGTATTTCACGCCATCAATGAAATCCGAGGTGTAATCATGGCCATCCGGATTGTAACTTCCAATATCCTGCAATGTTATCAGTATTAAAATTAATAATCATCATAACTTCATATGCGAATCTATTATTTATGCAATAAATTTAATCTTAATTTGTAATGCAAAATCTAATCTTAATTTTCTAGATTAACACCAAATTAAATCTAATCTTAATTTAAGGCCAAATCTAATCTTAATTTCTAATGCTAAATCCTTCAATTCCAAAAATCTAATCAAAACCCAATAAATCTAATAAATTATATTAATCTTAATTTGTAATGCAAAATCTAATCTTAATTTTCTAGATTAACACCAAATTAAATCTAATCTTAATTTAAGGCCAAATCTAATCTTAATTTCTAATGCTAAATCCTTCAATTCCAAAAATCTAATCTTAATTTCTAATGCTAAATCCTTCAATTCCAAAAATAATTATGCAAATAAATCTAATAAATTATATAAATCAAAACCCAACAAATTATTTCATGGAACAATCATAAATCATATAAAAAAAAAATTATTCAACGAAAAAAAAAAAAAACCAAAAAATGGCCAACCGCAAGTGACCTGCGGTTTGACCATGGTCGGACCGCAAATCACCTGCGGTTGAGCCATTGGTGGACCGCAATTGACCTGCGGTTGGACCATGGCTGAACCGCAGGTGATTTGCGGTCCGACCATGGTCCAACCGCAGGTCAATTGCGGTCCACCAATGGCTCAACCGCAGGTGATTTGCGGTCCGACCATGGTCCAACCGCAGGTTACTTGCGGTTGGACCATGGTCGGACCGCAAATCACCCGCGGTTCCCATTTTCTGTGTTTTTTTTTTTTTTTGGTTCATGTTCTTACCTCGTCGGAGTCGCTACTCATGATTCAGACGTCCTATCGACGATATCGGCTTCAAAATGACGATGAGAGATTTTTCTCTCCTTAGAGAGTGTTTTTTTAGTCCAAGTGATGTTTGTTTGAGGAAGGGAAGGTAAAGAAGCTATGGGGGTTAAAAGTGTAACTTTTATTCTTTTTAGGGCGACCTTTAGCAATTTTAAGGGCGACCTTTAGCAACTCCCTTTACAAATGGTCATCATGGACCCTACATCGAGGAAGTCTTCTCTTTTTGGAGCCGGAGCTATTTACAGGGAAGTTTTTTCTCTCTTCCTGTCCCCGTGTCAGTTTCGTGTCTTTTCGCTCTTTGGAGCTTTCATGGAGCTGCCCATTTGTGGCATAACAAGCTCTCTTATCGGGAGTCCGGTTGCATACGGGCTACTGTTCTTTATTATTATATATTTTGTATTCTTGTTGTCCGGCCATGCCCGAGGGGCTTATCTTGGATAAAAAAAAATACGGATTAGAACACTCATTTACGTCCGTCTTTCTAAAACGCCGTCGTTACATGTCCGATGAACACCTGGAACTAAACTCATTAACAAATGTTAACCTGTGGATGAGGTGCAGCTAATTAGGGCAAGATTTTGGAGTGGGGACATTAATTAATGCCGGGGAAAAGAGGTTATTTGGAGGATTAGCACGCGTGATTAAGAGGGAGACACGAAGAAGATTCTTCAATCACATGGATTACCCATAACTAAAGCGTAATTAGGGGGGGACTAACCACATCACTGACTACAGTACAGTGTGACTGCTCTCTTTTTTAGAACTTTTTTAGCCATTAAAATCATTTATAAGTAACAACCCATTATATTAAAAACAACTCTAATGGAATGGTTAAGTTACACCAAGAACTTAATCAGACCAGCAGAATTCACACACCAGAAAGATAGGAAAAGAACAACAACACTACAAAATAACAGCAATTCAGCCCACATTAGACCAAACTTGTTATATCCTAAACACTACTACCATGAGTCCCTAATATCCCTAAGAACCCTAGAGAGAACACAACAAAAGAGTACACTTCCACAGGTTGAAAATTCTCGTATACTTGGCGCGGTTGCTGTAAAAGCCTTCGTTCGGTTACTGCTGCTCTCGTCGTCTTGCTGTGGTGAGACTAGTCAAGATACAACACAACCCACATGGAGTGAAGTGTCAAAAGGTGTAGTAACTTCATCAGCAAGACACCTCACAGTGCGTCTGTGACGACGGCTCGTGTTCATGACCTCTAGAGTCGTCGTCTTCGTCTTCCTCGTCTTCAGCTGTGGAGGAGCTCCTGTTGTCAGTAGATGGCGGGTTCCTACTAAACATGTGGACGGAGGGGTAATTAAACGATTGCTGATTAGCGTTGTCTACATGGTGGAATGACGACGAAGAAGGGATTATGGCTGGCTTCACTGCAGCATACACCCCCTTTAGATCAGCAGCTGTCAGGACAGTGACCGGAGGATGTGTGGTCACAATCGGTGGTGGTGTCGGAAGTGGTCGTTCAGTTCTCTGCTTCTTGTGCTTCTGCTCCATCTGGTGACCAGGTATAAAACTGCCAACAACTACCTGATGATGCGCGTTCGAAACAAGCAGTTAGGGACCGAGCAAGAAGTCCAAACGGCCAGCTCTATGAGAGGGGCTGAGGGAGAATTGATCATATACCTGCACAGGACCAGCAGCTACCAAGAGACCAGCGAGTCCTCCACCAACAACTCGACCGTCAGCACCTGCTAACGAAACGCTCATTCCACCTGATCGGCTCCTTTGTCCTCCGGTATCTGTAGTAGGCATGAATGACCCGGACAATGAGAGTATCTCGAAACGGCCCTGAAAATACACAGCAATGATGGTGACAAGGGTTCTGATACAATCACAGCACATGACTGGATAGTGGTAACGAAGCAGCAAGGTAAAAGTATATTAAAGAGGCTCCACCTCATAAGTTAGTGTGCCACCAGAAGAAGTAGGCTGGCGAAGAGTGACATTTGAGATTGTGCCATTTGCAGAAAGAATGCATATGGCTCGAGCACCTTGTTGAGAAAAGGACATGACCTTCATTGTAACATCCTGGTAGCAGAAACAGACCAAAACCGTACTTAGAAACCATTTCTCAGAGTGTTCAAGATTCACTTGGTATTTAATTTCACAGGCATACCTCGCCAGCATTGACATTAAGCACATGAGGAGTAAAATTTGCGCCGACAGAGTAAGCAACTCCGTCTCCTGTAAATGGTATTGCAAGCATTAGATCATGGTTTCACAGTTACAAATCACATCCAAGAACAGTTTACTAAGGCAAACAAGCGGGGCAGAATCAGCAGTAAACATAACAGTTTTAAACTTGAAAAACCCCAACAAAAATAGGATTTGGTTAGAGGCAAGCTTCCTAATTTTAGTAAGAATCTTCCAAACTGATTGGAATGAGACAAAAACTGTACTTCGTTGACTGGATCCCATGGCATGACATGATTTGTGGAATCCTATGATTCTCCTGCTACCGACACTTGGTCAGCAAAACTATGGGTTGCTTGCTGGCTGGCTGGCAGTTAACTATCACCCAACTGGATTTACAAAGAAATGAAAACATCCCATCATCTAAAGACCATTTGCTGCCACTGAACAGAATCCTGAGCTCATTACTATTCCTTTTACCCAATTTAAAAATTCAAAAGTAGCTTAAGACAGATCTGGGAACAGTTCTAGCCACCAGACTATGTTCCTAAACCCAGATTAACAGTTTTAGTCTAACTTCTCTCAGACTAACAAACTAACAGAAAAAATTCAAAGTAGAAGAAAAGAAAGTTCCCAATCCACTTTACTTTTACAGTATCCATCATCAGTCACCACTCACCACCAGTTAGCTTCTCCTCCATTTCATTTCCTCCACCATTAATGTCAGAAAATAAATTGGTCCCACTCAGGCCAAAGATCCATTTGTGAGACCCCATTCTCAGATATTTACCCTATTGCAACGACAACTCAACCCATTGGTAAAAACAACCGATTAGAATCTCATGATCTCCGATGGAACAGTAAAAAGTTCAAAACTTTAGAAAAACCCTTGAGAGCTAGCTAGCTAGCGAATTAGAATCAGAAACATTTCTATCTTCTTTTGGCCTTTTCTTTACCTGGGCTCTCGTATTCGGTTCTGTGCTGCTGCTGCTGCTTCTTGACCGAGCCAATCCTCCGGCCTCTGCCCCTTTTCCAAGACGACGACGACGAGAGACCTCCGGTGAGCGGAATGGACGCCGATATCGGCATAGGCGACAATGTCGGGTTCAAGCTTCCGTCGGGCCCGTACTTCCTCGGCCTTCCCCTTTTCTTCTTCGCCAACGTGCCGCCGCTCCCCGGCGAAGAACTCACCGGTGGTGGTGGGCTGCCGAAATGGGTCGAGTTATTTGGAACTGGGTTCGAGTTAATCGGAGCTGAATTCGGGTTAGGGTTCGGAATTTCAGCTCTAGGAGCAAGCCTGTAGCTCTCTGGAGCATCATCCCCCCTAACCGTTACACCTGAAGTAGAAATCATTCCTTGTGTTGCTGCCTCCATTTGTACATAGACCGCTGAGCCAACACTAAAACCCACCCACCAAAAAAAATACCTTGAACCAAAAGATCGAAACTTTTTGCTGAAGCTGAAGAACCGTTACAGGGGAAATGGCTACTTCAGCTCCAGAAAACGGAGCAACAGAGGGATAAAAAGGAAACCCAGAAGGCTATAGGCTTGAAAGTTGTGAAGACGATGAAGAAGAAGATGCAAAAACAGTGCAAAAAGGGAAGACTTTACAACCGTAACTGCCTTCTGAGAACTCAAAGCTTCGCCATTGCAGAAGGAAGGAATGAACAGAGCTTGCTCCAGAGTGCTGTCTGCTGCTTTACCCCTTCCCCTGCAGGTGAAAACTAATCACAAAAATTACAGAGAAAATTGTAGAAAATTTACTAGTGTTCTTCTGGAATTTCTGCTAGGGAAATGGAATTTAGGGTTTTCCAGGGAAAAGCAAAGAGAAATAAATAAGTAGGGATGAAAAAATTAGGGAGAGAATTAAAAGAAATTAAAATTGGGGGAAATATTAAAAGGTAAAGGACTACTCAAACGGCTGATTTAATATTGGAATGGGGTGAGGTGAATTTTAAATTTTAATCAATAAATCAGATATTTTTTCAATTGGCAAATTCAAAGTATAGATTTTGGTTAAGAAAATGGTTTCAGGTCCGTCTTGGAAATTTAATAAGGTCCTTGATTTATTAATAAATGGAGGCAGGCAAACCGAAATTAAAAAGAAATTGATTTATTACTAGAATTAGTAAAATATTTATTAGGGAAAGAAAAAAGCTATTTCCCATTTTTTAAAATTTCCCATTTAAATTATTATAAAAGAATAGCTGCAAAGCAAGCCATGCCAATTTTCCAACCACTGACATCTTCTTTGTCTTTTCAGGTAAAACTTGATTGACTATACAAAATTTAAATAACTTAATTACCCCTGTAATTCTCTAAAATCTACTCTTAATGCCACTCTCCTACATCCTTAATTACATTAGGGTTTCTGAATTATGATGTTATCATTTTATGACGAAAATGATGGGAAAATGAATTTCTCAACTAATTTGGTTATAATGGTACAACACCTATTAACTAGTTTACTTCAATTGTCCAGCAAAGGGTTCCTCAAAGTGGTTGGAAAGTGATCAGGAATACTCAAAGAAATGCAAAGTTTGGAAGGAAAGAACACATATGGGTAATGGGAAAGTAAAAGTGTGTTGTTTGTCTAACTGAGCATTTATTGTTATGACAAAATGAAAGGAACAGCAACTGCCAACACTTCCTCAACAGCACAATCTTTTGCTGCCCATGAAGTTTCCTATGTTTCAGGAAAACGCCATAAAATATCAGACCAATCGAGCTACTGTGCTGATGCCATAGGATGGCCATCCCCTTGTGTTCCCAGCCATTGGATTCGACATGGTGGCATAAGCCAAACTCTAGTGATAGTAATAAGCTCATCAACAAGGAAGATAAGTAAGCATAATGCTCGATCCAACAGCTAAGAACGCGCAGGAGGGCGTTCCACAATGTCAGCGCGCTTTAATCGCTCCCTGCGTGGGCAGCATAGCCAAAATCCAGCAAAACTAATCAGAAGATCAGTGGCCAGTTGGTCAAAAAGGATCAGTAAACAAAGGGAAGAAATAAAACTGCAGCAGGAAATGGAACAGCAGGTACCTGGTTAAGAATGACAGGCAGAAAGTTATAGAACAAATTGGTACTTTCATCATATAATATAAAAATTTTGAGAATTTTTTATTTGGGTCTTTCTAAGGAGTAAAGGACAAGCAAAGTATAGCCCCTAACATGATGCTGGGCAGCTTGGGCATGAGATTTCTCATCCACTCTTCATCCTGCCAAAAGTTTGAAGAAAATAGCAGACAGAGATCCCAAATTAATAGACTATTGAAAGATAAAGCAACGATGGTGAATCTCTTGGGAGTGAAGAACAAGCTTGTTCTCATTTATTGTGAATCCATCGTGTATACAAAGTGCAGAGGCCCTTGTAAGGAGGCATACTAGCCACAACAATGCTCTATCTGGTACAGCAGCTGAATTCTAATAAAGACTTACCTTCTTCTATGGTGAACAAACAAAACAACAAATGAGGCAACAAAGGAAAACAGAGGTGAAGGGAGTAAGGACTAGGCTACAAAACCTCATTCTACAATATAAGTTAAGTCCCGCTGGTTGACCGGCCTCTTTCCCTTTCAACTGGCATCTCCTCCTCAAGATGAGGAGCTCTTTTTGCCTTCATGTTCTCTCCTTATGATCTCGAGCACGAGTTCATTCCACGTATCGATTGGACCAGGCATGCACCAGTGCAAACAATCCTGCGGGGGAGGCTTTCCATCCGGGCCAAATTGAGTCCTCTTGTTTGGATCAAGACTCCGGTATGGCCCCGGATGCCCATCATGCCGATAACTGAACACTCCAGTAATGTCCATCATTACAAACTTTGATTTATTCGTCTTCTTCGTGATCCCACGACGAAACCCTGTCATTTGCTTCTCGTGCATTATGTCGGTGTAATCATTCTTCACCAGCTGTTCAGGCTCCAGAGGCCTCGTCTTCCCAGTGCAGGAGCCACCAGTGTTCCAGGCCCCACCCTCGTAGTGGTCGGGTGAATATGACCGCAGGATGGTCAACCCAGTGAAATTTGGGTGCGTAAGCATCGAAGCCACAATGGTCTCTACTGATACCCCGAAAGCCTCGATGTTGTTGATTTTAGCTTCCCGAGACTTGTCAGGCCACCACAGCTGTCCTCCCACGATTTCGTTGTTCAACACGTAGACGGATTGCTTGGCGAACCAGTGACCCGAGGAAAGAACAACTACATCGAAGGTTGGGACGAATTCCATAAAGTTCTCATCCGGAGAGTCGAGGTGGACCTTTGTGACACCCTCCGGAGCAAAGTCTATGGCTTCTGGAGTTTGATGGACGAGCCACGAGGACCACATTCGGACGATCATGGTAGATGTCGATCTGAAGTAGTATCGGTGCATTCTTTTGTTCCCTCTGTTTTTTGGAACTTCCACCTGTTAAGGTAAAAATAATGTCAGATTCCAGTAACCGAGAATAATGCCGATTCTGGACAAACAATTTACTTGCCTGCCAGAGAAGACAGAGCAATGATTCCATTTGGTTTCGAGCCACTGAATCACCAATGAAAGCTAGGGTTTTTCCTCTCATCAGTTCGAGGAACTTTTTGGCGTCGAAACGAGGGAGGTCACATTGCGATGGTTTCCACCGATAACTCTCGTACTCTTTATCGGGTCTTCCATTTCCTTGGCAGTTCTGCATCTGTGTGATGACCGGGCAGCTATTGTTCGTGTATAAGGGCCCACGTGGGTCGTAAAACCAAGTTCCCTTAAAGAGATCACATCCTGCACGTCAAAAGATCATGAAGAAATTATGAGCGAAATGAAAATGAAGGAACCAGACCAGCATGAATTAAGCGAAAGGGAATAGTCCTCATGTTTTTCTTTTTTGGTTTCATTTATCAGAATCAGTGCTCCAGAGCCTCAAACAGACCATTACAGAATGGATAACAGAAAACTACGGACTGAATAGAAGACATTAATGTAAATTATGGAAAAGCAAAGCTTTCCTTTGAAGCTCAACCAAAAGAGAAAAATAGTAATGTTTCAAATCCAGTCAAGATAACAATACTAACATCTAAATAACAGATTCGTCCATTAATGCAGACATAATCACTACAAGAAATGACACCTTCAAGAAAAGTTATTCAGTTGAGGACAGTATGAGGCTTTATAGAGATAGCTCTATGCATCTCCAAAGAAAAGTATCATCTAGAATTTATTCACACCATTTATTGTCAGAGAAGCCACATTCAAAAAATGAAGGGAATGAACTAAATGGAGGTAAGCAAATTCAGTTTAATAATCCAATTCATATCTCGTTCGTTCAAGCATCATCTGCCAGTACATACATCATGGAGTTTAAGATCATTTCAGATAATACAACTTCAAAAGGTGTACCTGAATCATCTGAACCATTTCCTGTTGTAACCTCTTTGCTAGATGCAGCAGATATTTCTCCCCCGCTCTTCAATTTGGGATCTGCAGCAGATGGGACAGAGCTAGCCTCTGCAACTTTTGCACCCTTGGATACTTCTTCATCAACAATAGCAGGGTTCTTGATTCCTAAATCCTTCGTGTCAGCCAGACGATCTTTCTTCTCGGGCTCCACTTTCGCTTCTTTATTAGTAGCTGCTTCTACACTAGCAAAATTCTTAATACCCAAATCCTTTGTGTCATCCAGACGATCTTTCTTCTCGGGCTCCACTTTCGCTTCTTTATTAGTAGATGCATCTACAATAGCAGGATTCTTAATACCCAAATCCTTCGTGTCAGCCAGACGATCTTTCTTCCCGGGATCCTCTTTTGCTTCCTCATTACCAGCCGGAACTTGGACATGAACATCTTCCTTCACGGACTCCTCTTTTCGCTCTTTATTACTATCAGGGACATCCACATTTGACTCCGAACCAGATGGCGAAGAATACCTCACACTCTCGCTTACACTACCATTAACACCGCTCAAACTCGTGGGTTTTACTTCAAAATCAGACCCAGATGGCGGGCTCTTACGATCACCAACGTCTACATTACTATAACTATCTTTTTTATTCTGTGGAATAACTGGAGGAATAATCACTTTCGGTGTATCAACCTTGTAAAAGTATCCCTGAACTGTAGAAGATAACGGATTCGAGACCAAGAGCAACGAAGCTAAGAACAAAAACACAGCAAGCCCTGCCACTGATGCAGTGATGTAAGCAAGAGATCTTGGGAATGCAGCAGAAGCTGCCATGGTAGCAGAGCCTTTGGACCAACCAGAAGTCATTGTTGCATTTCCGAATCCAGAAGAAAACTTGCCCAAATAGGGGAAAACATCCCCCAATTCAGTTGCTTCTGAAAGGGACCAAGCAACAAACCCGAAAACCGCCCGATCCCCTTTTATTGAATTGGATCCAAGCTTGGAACTTTTCCTCAATTAATGAACAAAAAAAAGATCACAAATTGTTTCCCTCTCTCGCCTCTTTCCCTGAAAAGGAAAGAAGAACCCATGCATTTAATGAAATGATAATCTAGATGAGAGCAAATCCAATGTCTAAGAACATGCATTTCATAAAAGTATCCATCAGAAAATCCAATTCCAAACCCAAAAGTGGGGAACCGGCAAATTCGTCAAATCCCAAACAGTAACATGAGAATCCCCATTTTCTGGGTCTGAAATCCCTAGGCTACTCCGGTTTAGGGGAGAAAGGAAAAGCAGCGATGTACCCACAAATTCATGAATTGGGGGGTCACCAATTTTCACCTGGGAATCCGAGAGACTGTGGATGTGGATTTGTGTACTCGGTTGCTTCCGTGCGTCGGCCGGCGAGCTTCGAAGACGGGAACTGAGAGAGATGCCTTCTTGGATCGGGGAGAGACGATAAATGGTGGCGATCTTTGCCGAGTTTCCCGATCTTGTGTTCCCTTTTTTTTAAACTAAAGAGCCGGACAGTTTTATTTAAGAAGTGGGTAAATAAGATCTATCTTCTCTTTCATAGGAGAGTGAGAAAGAGAGCGACGCCATGGGAGGGGAAGGAGCGAGGCCAATTGAGCGAGATGGCGCAGTTCAGTGGGAAACTACAAACTAGACAACTAGTGAGTCTTTGTCGTCGTCTTTTTCTGTTGCGAGCTCCTTTTCAAGCTGGCATGAATGTGATTCGAATGACTCATCCACCTCCCGCATCATTGGCATCAAGATGTCTTGTTGAGACAAATAAATCTCCTTAACATGTGGATCGGGAGACATTTGTGTAGGTTGGATTTACCATCACAAATAGTAGAGATATTATTTGATTACTCATGGAGTTTTCGGGGGTGTAAGCATAAATTTTTGGGAAATTTTGAAAAATTTATCGAATATCGAGTCGTAATTTAGGGTTTGCGGAGGAAATAAAATTATGGTAGTTTCGAAATTTTGAACTACTGACATTATAATTATGTCTAAGAAGATTATTCACTATACTAATACTACAGCCTCATTTTTATTAACTTCAAAACATTAAATGTATTCAGACATGAGTCCTTTTAGGCTTTTACTATGATCAAAGTATCGATGATCCAGGATACAAGTTAAACTTGTACCATAACATTAAAGATAAACTTCAGTTTGTATCATAAAGGAAGTTATGGTGCAAGTTCAATTTGTATTAAAACATAAATATACAAGTTCACTTTTCACCATAAACAAATTTGTACACAAAGGTATAGGTATAAACTGAAATTTTGTCATGGCGTTGGAGATACAAGTTCAGTTTGTATCATAAAGAAATTTGTACAATAAAGTATAGGTACGAACTGAATTTGTATCATAACGTTAAAGATACAAATTGATTTAGTACAATAATTTTTTTAATGAAAACACCAATCATATAAAACAACATAAAATTCCTCTTTATACATTAAATACTATCAAACATAATTGCGCAATTTTATTAAAATCCTAAAAGTGAAAATCAATTTCCCTTCACTATTAATATTCATCTCCTCTCATCTAAACACAAAAATAAAATAAAAAACACTTCTCGACAGTGAAGGAGTTAGGTTGAGGTCCAGAGGGGCTATAACACCCCAAAAAATGAAATATTTTAGAATTGCATGTAAATTTCATAACAAATTTAGAAAATAGCGTAGTCAATAAGGCCTTAGCCTCCCACCAATTATCACAATTCAAACAAGCCCCCCTCATCCAGATTCATGGCTCCGCCATTGCTTCTCGACTCTGGCCAACTCACTCTTCTTTAGTTCTGTGAGACCCTCCTCTAGTAAGGTCATCCGGTCTCTCCAGAATTATTACCATTGAATTGATGAATTAGTTCATTCAAAGATCAAGATAAAATTGAATTTATTATACTTGGTGGTCTATGTGATCATGAAATTTGTAGTGATTTATGAGTCACAGCTGCAACTACTGAAAGAACCTTTTAGATTTGGACTGCATCAAGAACAAGTTTGGGAGTTATAATGGCAATTAGTTTGTGAATCATTGTTTAACACGATATATTGAAAGAGGTTTTGGAGTACAGTAGACACCAAGTGAATTCATAATATTTCAGAACATGAAAGCATGGTGTGGAAGTTTATTATATCCTTTTGTTGTTATGACTTGAAGATAAATTGTATGTAGTATGCATTCTCAATCTCTGTAATCTGTATCTTCTCAAGTATAGTGAAATTGTTTTCTCTTGCTCGTGGACATAACTAACACACATCATTTTAGTGAATCATGTAAATCTCTTTGTTCTTTTATTTTGTCGCATTGTCGATTTCTCAATTAGTTATAACACTTTTATTAGTTAAATATTTCCTTATTTAATTTATATGTTTATTTAAATTATTAATTTAATTTTGTAGAAGATACCCTAAGAGTTTAACTAATGTGCATTTGCAGTCTTTTTTTATTGTTTGGTTTGTAGTCGAAATATTATGTTAAATATTGTATGACACGATTAAGACCACAATAAGTAAAAAGTAGGAGGTAGTGACAATAAAGTAAAAAGTAGGAGGTAGTGACAATATTTTTCACCAGAACCTTGATACTACTTGCGCACTAATCGGTTAGACATATGTGTAGGCAGATAAGAAGTCGTAATGCATATCATCAATTTTGGGTGCTCTGAAAGCTGAATTCCTTTTTTTTTTTTTTATCATAGTCAGATGAAATAGTAGACAGATATGATTACAATAGGTAAAAATAACGTCAGTCGATACTAATCGATCTGGCGATGAAAGAGCCCTTTATGCCACTAAATGGGCAGCTCTGTTAGTTCCTAAGAAGAGAGTGATAAAACACTAAAGCCTAAAAAAAGGATATATTTCCGCCGTTACACCATATCGCCTTAAGCTCTCTGCATACACGTTGCTGCTTGAAAATATCCAACAATTAGTCAAAAGGCATAGCAGCTTCTCCTGAAAGTCGGAGGTATATCATCCTTGGCAATAGCAATAGCAGATCCATTCCCTGCAAACCTGCAGAACAAACAAACAAAAAGTGGCCCACTCTGTTACCACAAGAAGCCTTGGCCGATGTTCTTCATGAAAGCCTTAAAGTGGCCCACTCTAACAGCTGGGTGAATAGTGTAGCCTGCAAATCAGTAAAAAAACCAAACTAGGCCAACAGGCTCCCGAGAGTGGCCCCATTTGATTTAGTCCTAACTTTACCAAATATTAATAAAATTGAAATTAATAAAATAGTGAATCAAAAGATCAGAACGCGTAAAAGGTATCGTGGCAAACTTCCACGTAAGCTGCTGCAGGATTAGGAAGGAGGATAAGATTGCAAAGGAAAAGAAGCAAACTGCCACGTGCACGACTATGGAATTAGGAGAAGGACACGTGTACTCCAGGCTCGAGACAACCACCGGTGGGAACAGATGTCGGAGAAAGCAAGCGGTGCCGATGAGGGATAGCGGTGGTGAAGCGGGAAGATCAATTACGGCAGAAATCGGAGGTGGAAAGAGAGCGAGGCGATTCCATGGTTGGCGAATCCAGCAGAGGCATGGCTCCCTTTGATCTATCCTAAAGATAGAATTGGAGGCGTAACAAACCCCAATCAGCCAAAAGAGGTGACTAACACGCAATCTGAACCGGTAGCCACAAGGAGGATTCTTATCACTGAACGGCCCGATGGCTGCTGCAAAGCACCTCCAAGCTTGTGCGTGACTCCACCACTGCTCCCGTGAACCCGTCTCCTTCTACAAACAATCAGCCGGCGTCGGTGGATCGCAAAGCCAACCCTGCATCCTCAAGCTCCTTCTACAAACAAACGATCATACTAGAAGCTCCTTGACAGCACGATGGAAGCTGATGGGAATATGGTACACGCGTCTTCACACCCGAAGCCCGAGGCGGTGCCGATGACCATGCCCACCACCGGCGGAAATGATACTCCGATGAGCCTTCGCTGGGCAGGTTGGAGAGTTTTGGGGTGGTGGAGCTTCAATTTACATGTCCTGCAGGCAAACGAAGAGGAGAGGAGGCAGGGGCATAGTAGATGATCTGTGAATCTGTGATGTTAGGAGAGCCAGAGCCATCTACACTCGGGATTGTGACGGGCAGTGGAAGGACGGCCATCAATTTTAGGGGAAAGTCTTATAGCGGCGGTAAAGGTTGGAGTACTGCCTCTAGCCCTTCAATTCTTCCTGCCACATGTTTGACTGCCGTAGACGAATAAGTGAGCAGGGGATGCGAAGGCTTGTTGAATTCAAGCTGAAGAGGAGAAGCCGTCGAGGAAGGTTTCCGTTCTGCAAATTCACAGTCAGATCCGGCAGCCGACAGAAGGACGAACCCCTGAAAAGTGAAAAAAAGCCAGCGCCACACAAGGCTAGAAGGCCGAAGACGGCAGAGTCGCAGCAAGGCGATAACACAATCCCCAATTAGGAAGAACGATAACTTTGTGGGCGATGATTCCAGCTTCCTTTCCCTCTAGAAATTTACCCAAGGCGGAAAGACTGCCGTTGCAAAGTTGCCGTCTTCAAGGATATGAGCCCCGCACACGGCGAGGTGATCTTAGATCAAGGCGTCCGATCCCAGGGAGGGAACTGGGTCTGCTTTAATTTGCCACGGAAGAAAGAAGAGAAGAGAGATCCGAAAATTCTCATATAAGTCCCCACTTTTCTTCTTCGTCATCTTCCTTCGCCCTTGCTTTGCTTGCCTGCTTGCTTCTTCTTAGCTGAATTCCTATTCGTCGCCCTAAGTTTTTAAATTTATCGCCCTAAACTTAAATACATGGACGAGTTTATCCCTCATTTAACCTAAACCCTAAATTGATTCACCCTGCTGTCACTTACCCTGTTCTCCCTCCCCAAATACTCAAAATCTCACCCAGACTCGCCGCCAGCATCGCCCTCACAACCCCTCACCCAGACCCGCCGCCAGCATCGCCCTCACCCAGAAGAAAAAACCTCCGCCACCCGCCGCCAGCATCGCCCTCACCCAGCAGCGCTTCACCCTCCGCCACCCTAAGCTGCCGCCATCCAGACCCGTCGCCGCCAGCATCACCCTCACCCAGACCCGTCGCCGCCGTCAACCAGACCCTCGCCCAGACTCGCCTCCACCACCAAGACCCGTCACCACCCAGATCCGTCGCCACCAGCATCTTCGCCCAAGCCCAGATCCGCCGCACTGTCGCCGAGGAGGAAGGAGAAGCCTCCAAATCATCGCCCGCCCCTAGCCCTCTGCTTCTGCTCAGACCCGCCGAAGGTAAATCTCTCCCTCTCCCTCTCCCTCTCTTGGATATTTCTTGAGGAGAAGTTCAGTTCTTGAGTTGCGCCGACGTCGCGGGTTGAAAACCCGTCGCCAGTGGCTAGAGGAAGGTAGGGCGTCCGATTAGGGCCTGGGTAGACGCAGGCAGGGCACCCGCGCGGATCCGGCAGAGCCAGGAAGCCCACCTGCCCCGACCCTGGTCCGATCCGGTCTCTGACCCGCCCTGACACTTGTCCGACCCGGTCTCTGACCCGCCCGGACCCTGGTCCGACCCGTTTCCCGACCCGTTTTGATTTTTTTTCCAATTAAAATACAAATGTTAATGATTAGAATGTTCATTTTAATTAATAATATATAAA